ATAATGCAAATTTTACGGTCATTCTCACATTTTTACATAAACACTTATTTTTTTATTGAATTATTTTTTTATAATAATAATTTTTTTATATTGTCAACTTAATTATTTATGTTAAAATAATATTTTTTACGCTTGTTCTTATATTTATTATGTTTAGAATTATCTCAACTTTTTTTTTAAGATATTACGATAGTTCTAGCTTGATTTTACACTAAATGATACTAATTTTATGATTATTCTCACATTTTTACGTTACAATACTTTTAACATATTTTACATTAAATTATACAAATTTTACGATCATTCTCACAATTTTATGTTAATATTTATTTTTAGGTTTAGAATTTTTTTATTTATAATAATAATTTTTTATGTTATCAATTTAATTATTTACATTATAATAAAATCTGTTATGTTTTTTCTTACATTTTATTATATTCAGAATTATCACAATTTTTTCTTAAATATTACCACACTTCAAATATATTTTACGTCAAATTATATCAATTTTATGATGATTCTTGCATTTTTAATTTAACACTTATTTTTTTATTTAAAATTATTTTGATTTATAATACTAATTTTTTTACATTACAAATTTATTACGTTTCAATAATATTTTTTACATTTGCTGTTACTTTTTATTATATTTAAAATTATTACAATTTTTTTGTTATGACGTAATGATACCTCTAACCATTTTATGTAAAATAATAATAATTTTATGATTATTTTTTTATTTTATACTAACTTTTATTTTTGTTTAAATTATTTTTATTTGTAATAATAATTTTTTTACATTTTCAAGTTAATTATTTATGTTATAATAATATTTTTTTACGCTTACTGTTACCATTCATTATGTTTATGATTATCATAATTTTTTCTTAAAGATGTTACGATACTTTTAACTATTTTGCGCCAAATGATATCGATTTTATGATTACTCTCACATTTTTTATATTAACACTTATTTTTTTGTTTAAAATTATTATTTATTTATAATAATTATTTTATATTTTCAAAAATATTATTTATATTATAATAATATTTTTTTATATTTGTTCATACTTTTTATTATGTTTAAAATTATAACAACTTCTTATCAAGGTGTTATGACACTTTTAATTTAATTTATGTCAAATGACACTAATTTTACAACTATTCTTATCATTTTACGTTACGACATTGTAACATATTTTACACCAAATTATTTTAATTTTTTAATTATTCTCACATTTTTACGTTAACACGTATTTTTTATTAGAATACTTTTTTATTTATAATAATAATTTTTTATGTTGTTAACTTATATTTATGTTATAATAAAGTCCTTTACGTTTGTTCTTATCTTTTATTATATTTAAAATTAACAAAAGTTTTTCTTAAGATATTATAACACTTCTAATAAATTTTACGCTAAATAATATCAATTTTACAATTATTCTCACCATTTTATGTTAATACTTATTTTTAATACTAATTTTTTTACATTACTAATTTATTACGTTTTAATAATATCTTTGTATGTATGTTGTTATTTTTTATTGCATTTAGAATTATTACAAATTTTTTTCTTAAGGTGTAACAATACTTTTAATTATTTTACGTTAAATAATATAAATTTTACAATTATTCTCACAATTTTATGTTAACTCTTAACTTTTAATTTAAAATTATTTTTTTGTTTGTAATAATAATTCTTTTATATTGCCAATTTAATTATTTATGTTATATTAATTTTTTTTACATTTATTTTTACCTTTTATTACGTTTAAAAGTATTACAACTTTTTTTTAAAGGTGTTACGACACTTCTTATTATTTTACATTAAATAATACAAATTTTATGATTATTCTCACCTTTTTCATACTAACACTTATTTTTTGGTTTAAAATTATTAATTATTTGTAGTAATAATTCTTTTATATTGCTAAAAATATTATTTATGTTATAATAATTTTTTTGTTTAAACTTGTTCTTACTTTTTATCAAGTTTAAATTTATCACAACTTTCTGTCAGGTGTTACAATACACTAATTTTACAAATATTCTTATATTTTTATATTACAACACTTTTAACACGCTTTATATCAAATGATTTCAATTTTATAATTACTCTCACTTTTTATATTAACACTTCTTTTTTTGTTAATAATTATTTTTTATTTATAATAATAATTTTTTTAAGTTGTCAACTTAATTATTACATTATAATAATATATTTTATGCTTGTTTTCATCTTTTTATAAGTTTAAAATTATCTTAATTTTTTCATAAAATATTACGACATTTCTAACACATTTTATGTCAAAATATACTAATTTTATGATCATTCTTATCGTTTTCCATTAACACCTATTTTTATGTAGGATTATTTTTTATTTATAATACTCATTTTTTTCATTACCAATTTAATTATGTACATTTTAATATTTCTTTTACACTTGTTGTTACTTTTCATTACGTTTAGAATTATCACAATATTTTATTAAGGTGTAACGATATTTGTAATCATTTTACGTCAAATAATACTAATTTTATGATTATTCTCATTTTTTTTACATTAACTTTTATTTTTTGTTTAAAATTTTTTATTTGTAATAGTATTTATTTTACATTACCAATTTAATTATTTTTATTATAATAACATCTTTTTATACCTGTTATTATTTTTCATTACGTTTATAACTATCACAATTCTTTGTTAGGATGTTACAACACTTCTAACTTATTTTACATTAAATGACACAAATTTTATGATTATTCTTACTTTTTTATGTTAAAACTTATTTATTGATTTAGAATTATTCCTCAGGTTTAAAGTAATAATTTTTTTACATTGTCAACTTAATTATTTACGTTACAATAATATCTTTTACGTTTGTTATTACTTTCATTATGTTTAGAATGATCACAACTCTCTCTTAAGATGTTACAATATTTGTAATGCATTTTTTGCCAAATTATACCAATTTTATGATAATTTTCACATTTTTACATTTCAATTAACTTGTTTATGTTACTAATATGTTTTTAATTTTTGGCTATTTTTCTTATATGTTTAAAAAATAAATAATTAAAAATTTAAATTAACAACTTAACTATTTACGTTACAATAATTTTTTTTATGATTGTTCATATATTTAATTATGTTTAGAATTGTAATAGTTTTTTCCTTATATGTTAGAACACTTTTTATTCATTTCATACCAAATGATACTCATTTAAGCTTTTTTCTCTTTTTTTATGTTACCTATTTTATTTTTCAATTATTAACTATTTTGCTTATATATTTAAAAAATAATAATTAGTTTAAATTTTATGTTACCAATATAATTATTTATTTATAATAATATTTTCTTATGATTATTCTTACCTTCTATTATGTTTAGAATTGTTATATCTTTTATAGTATGTTACGACACTTTTTATTTATTTTACATCAAATGATACTAATTTTACATTTCTTCCTACTTGTTTATGTTATAAATTTATTTTTTAATTTATAACCATTTTCTTTATATATATACATATATATAAAATAATAATTAATTAAAATTTTACATTGTCGTCATAATTATTTATGTTACAATAATATATGTTTATATTTTTTTTTACTTTTCAATATGATTAGAATTATCATAATTCTTTATTAGTATATTATGACAATTCTTATCTATTTTATGTCAAATGATACGAATGTTACGTTTCCTCTTACCTATTTACGTTATCTATTATTTTATTTATTATATAATTTTATATATTTAGAATAATAATAATTAATTAAAATTTTATGTTGCTAACTTAATTCTTTACATTTTAATAATATTTTTATACAATTGTTCTTATATTTTATTACGTTTAGAATGATTATAGCTCTTTCTTAAAGGTTATGATACTTTTAACATATTTTATGATAAATGATACAATTTTTACGATTTCTTTCACCTATTTTCATTAATAAATTTTTGATTAATTTATTATTCTAAAATATAATTTTTTTATATTATTTTTTATCCTTGAAAGTAATTTTAACTATTTTTCTTATATATTTATAAAAAATATTAATTTAAATTAACATTATTAACTTAATTATTTATGTTAAATAATTCTTCTAACGCTTTTTTTATATTTAATTATGTTTAAAATTTTTCATAATTCATTTTTTCGTATGTTATGACACTTTTATCTCATTTTACATAAATTGATATAAATTATATTATTTCTCTCATCTATTATGTTAATAATTTTTTATTTTATTTTAAAATATAAATTCTTTTCGTTTAATTTTTTTGAAAGAATTTTATGTTTTTTTTTTAAATTTTTTTAGAATTATTTTTTTATTTTATAATACTTTTTAGCTATTTAATCAACAGTTGATACTTAACTATATAAATCTAATGGTTATTTTTTACTAACTTTATTATAAAGTTAAAAAACTTAAACTGATTATAGAAGTGCCCCTTTATTTTATCTTTTCCAACATGTGATGCTACTTGCGAGTTGCAATTTAATGATGATATCGTCTAACATCCGTAATTCAATAAATTTAAATTTTAATTATTTTTATATTTTTGAATTATAATATTTTATACATTAAAAAATGCTTGAATGATGTTAATCTATAATAATGTATTTTATTTGAGTTGTATTCGCGTTTTAATTATCGTAATTATTTTAAATATAATAAAAATATGATAAGAATATAAATAATTAAATTTAAAAAGTTGAGTAAAGATCTGAATTTATATTTGGGAGACATTTTAAGGAATAGAACTGTGGCCTTCCAATCGAATACATGATAAACTCTGCACTAAAAACTCCAGCAACGGCTGATTCTTGTTAGCCGCTAATCACCACGTAACACGTGTCAAATCCCCAAGATCATAATGGTTCCTATCTAAAAATGGGTCCTAGCCAATCAACCCTTTTCGCTTATTCGTATGTCCGACACTGTATCTTTGCCCAGTGAAGTCAACTTTCAACAGCCTCGTCTCTCCAAGAACAGAGCAAAGAAAACCAGAGGATCTAAAAACAAAAAAACAGAATACTCTGTTTCTGATCTTCTGTGTTTCACTGTTCAAAAAGACAGACTTTTTACTATGAAGTCAGAGGCTTTAACATTGGTTTTAGTGAATCTAGCTGGGATAATGCAGAGAGCAGACGAGTCATTGTTGCCAGGTGTTTACAAGGAAGTTGGTGCAACTTTGCATATAGACCCAACGGGGTTAGGCTCACTCACTCTCTATAGATCCGTAGTGCAATCTTGTTGTTACCCTTTAGCTGCTTATCTTGCTATGCATCACAATCGTGCTCATGTCATTGCTCTTGGTGCTTTTCTTTGGGCTGCTGCCACCTTTTTTGTTGCCATTTCCACCACCTTCCTCCAGGTATTTATATAGTTTTGCAATTTTTTTCCCTTTTATTTTAGTTGACATGGTATTTTCTTCTCTTTTTTTTTTTTTTGGTTTCTTTGATGCAACATATGAAGCCCATTTGTTGGTTTTTCATTGGTTGGATTTAGTTTTATTATGGGCTTTGAGTTTGTTCTCAATAGGTGTATAGACCGATTTTATGGTTCTTATGAAATTGAATGGTTTCGAAATGGTGGCAAAAGGGTTCAATTAGAAATTAGTGTTTAGAATCTTTAGGCTTTTTGAGCATTTCTTTTCAGTTATTTTGTGTGATTAAAAAAATAAAAAATACAGGACGTTTGGATTTTGGGTTTTATGTTAGAATGGTTCTTTTATTTTCATATCTAAAGCTCAGTGAATTTTCAAGCATCCTTGAGGATGAAATTAGAAGCTACTATCTCAAGACTTGGCTGCGGCTTACAAGTCTTGCATTAATCATGCGTAAAATGAGTTTTTATTTTCTTTGTTATAGGATCTTAGACTTGTAGCAAAGTTTTATCCAGTGCTTGTTTTTATTGGATGGATAGTTGTAGGAAACCTATCAAAAATTATCTTATTTGGCTCATTAGGTTGCAGTTTCGAGAGGTTTGAATGGAGTTGGACTTGCAATTGTCATACCTGCTATTCAGTCCCTTGTTGCTGATTCAACTGATGAAAGTAACCGTGGTATGGCTTTTGGGTGGCTACAACTGACAGGAAACATTGGCTCCATCCTAGGTGGGCTATGTTCTGTACTGATTGCATCAAAAACTATCATGGGGATACCTGGCTGGAGATTTGCTTTCCATCTGGTTTGGATAATCAGTGTCGTAGTTGGTATCTTGGTCCATCTTTTTGCTAAGGATCCACGATTTTCTGATAGCGATGATAAAGCCAAAAAACATGTTGAACGTAAGTCCTTTTCATCACAAGTGAAGGACATAATAAAAGAAGCAAAGTCAGTTATGAGAATCCCAACTTTCCAAATTATTGTTGCTCAAGGTGTTTCAGGATCATTCCCTGGGTCAGCTTGGTCGTTTGCCCCAATGTGGCTTGAACTTATTGGCTTCTCCCATGAAACAACAGCATTTATCATGACCCTTTTTGTAGTTTCCAATTCACTTGGTGGTCTCTTTGGCGGAAGGATGGGAGATATTTTAGCCAAACGCTTGCCTAATTCTGGGAGAATTATACTTTCACAGATAAGCGCAGGTTCTGCGATCCCTATAGCAGCAGTTCTGATGTTGGCATTACCTGATGATCCCTCCACTGCATTTACGCATGGTTTAGTTTTTTCCATCATGGGATTGTGCACTTCCTGGAATGCTCCAGCAACTAACAAGTACATCTTCTTGGTCCATCTTATACTTGTTCAATATTTCCAATAACTAACTTGGTGATAAATTTATCATGCTTGGGTTGGACCGCAAAGATAATGAAGTCCAAAAAAACTGCTTTTTCATCGTTCATCACAGCACAATAATGTGAGTGACACTACTAGATATGGAGTCAAAATTAAATTATTTCACCTGAGAGACTCTTAAGTAACAAGGATTTGGCATGGATGTTCAGTCAAAGGAAAGTGATCACATGTAAGATGTAGGACAAGAAAAATTACAAGCGGACTATATATCATTTTCTCTGAAAATATATATAGGTTTTAAAATTCTCATATAGAACTTAGTTTAGATTCCCCACTCACTTGCAGATGATGAAGATATTCATGTGAATTCTGTAGAAATCTTTCAGGGGCAAAAGAATGTGTTGCTTACTGTGAAAATCGCATTCACACTGTAGATGTTGAATTTAACAAGGTTAGTAGTTTCAGTGCTTTGGTGGTGATAGTACAATGATAGACTTAGAAGGTGAATGGCATTGAATAATGGAACGTAGGGGCTCCATTCATAGGAAACGATCGATCAATAGTTTCTAGATGCTCATTTCACTCTGTAAAATTATAAACTCTCTAAAATTAGTACTGTTTCGTCTGGCAAAAAAACAATAGCATGTTCTTGGGCTTTGGTGGTGCTAGACCTAGTAGTAATTTGTTTATTCGGATATTTTTATGCACTGTGGTGGTATTATTCTATAGGCCAAACTGATTTAATCCTTTACTTGCTGTCTTTCACTGCTGCTACTTATTGTGCATTCACTGATGCATGCATTAGCTAATTGTTTCATATTTTATCTGCATTTTATGAGCATTGTCTGGTATATGAATGGTGTATGCAGTCCAATATTTGCAGAGATTGTCCCTGAGAAATCCCGAACAAGCATCTATGCCTTGGATCAATCTTTTGAGTCTATACTGGCATCTTTTGCTCCACCTATAGTTGGGATTTTGGCTCAGCATGTTTATGGTTATAAACCAATATCCAAAGGATCATCAGACTCCATGGAGATTGGGACGGATAGAGAGAATGCTGCATCGCTTGCTAAGGCTCTTTACACAGCAACTGGGATTCCAATGGCAATCTGTTGCCTCATTTACTCATTCCTTTATTGCACTTATCCAAGAGACCGGGAGAGAGCAAGAATGCAAGCATTGATAGAATCAGAAATGCAACAACAAGAGGAAACTAATTCTCCATCAAGTGGCAAACAATCCGAATTTCATGTTGAAAACTCAAAAGATCTGGATGGCAAAGAAAGAAGTGAAGTTTATATAGAGCTTGAAGAGGAGAGCCTCGATTTCGATGATAATGATAAGAAGTCCCTTCTGAATCATAACCAGCTTGATTTTCAAACTTAGAGGGCAGATGAACACTTTAGGTGGAAGCTGAGCTATAGAAATTGGGTCGACTTAAACTAACCAAGTTATAAAGGCTTCAATGACTTGGTTTCTTCCAAAGGCTCCTCATCTTTTCATGTCAGCAGAATTTTATTTACTCAGGCTGAAAATGAGCATGTTGGAAATCTATTTTTAGCCTGAGTCACTTGTGAATCAGTTCTTGTTATATATCAATTAATTTCATGATTTACAGGTGATTATATTAATTCTTCATCTTGTTCTTAATCACTTGCAGTTGAGATATATATGCTGCATGAAATGAAAGCTTCACAGCTCAATTTTTCATTTGCATGAAAGTGATCAAATTCAACGAGTCACAACATTCATCATAACATTTTTTAATATTGATTTTAGATGTGACATTTATTTCTTGAATTTTAAATATTTGTTAGATTGATCTACTCGTGAATCATAAATTATATCAAGAGAAACATCTTAAATAAATACATTAAATCAATGCGTGAGTATGTCATTGAAATCATTTGAAAAAAACTAAATCTTGAACAAATTCTGAAAATATTTTGATCATATTATAAAAATAAAAATAAACTAAAATTCATGAATTTACCCTAATAAATTTTCTAACACATGATGAACTGTAGAATATATATATTTTCTGGCCAAAAGTGAATACCAACAACTAGGTGTTAAAATTGTTTCAAAAGCATTAGGAACCAAGGACTTTCATTTGGATGTCCAAACGTAAGACAGATCCTATCATTTCGGCATATCCTTTTCTTTCGTCATAAAAGAATCTACGTAGTGCAATCCAATCATCACCTAACACGTGTCAAATCTCCAAGGGCTAATGGTTCCTACAGTTAAGATGGGTCCTACCTATTCAGCCCTTTTCACTTATTCATATGCCCAATCAAGTCAACTGTCAACCCCTTTCTCCAAGGGGCTTGGAGAGCAAAGCATAAACCTGAGGATCTTAAAAGAAAAAAACAGGGTAATCTGTTTTCTGATCATCTGTTTTTCCATTATTCCAAAAGACAGAGTTTTTACAATGAAGTCGGAGACTTTAACACTGGTTTTAGTGAATCTAGCTGGGATAATGGAGAGAGCAGATGAATCATTGTTGCCAGGTGTTTACAAGGAAGTTGGTGCAGCTCTGCATACAGACCCAACAGGGCTGGGTTCATTAACACTTTTTCGATCAATAGTTCAATCTTCTTGTTACCCTTTAGCTGCTTATCTTGCCATGCATCACAATCGTGCTCACGTCATTGCTCTTGGTGCTTTTCTTTGGGCTGCTGCGACATTTCTTGTTGCCATTTCCACCACTTTCCTCCAGGTTATTTATACAGCTTTCTTGTTTTTCTGGTTTTTTCCCCCTGAATTTTAGCTGATGTGGTATTTTCTTTTCTGGGTTTTGTTGTTTGGTTTCTTTGATGCAATATATGAATGCCCATTTCTTCCCAATGGCTGCATAGGCAGATCTAATGGTTCTTATGAAATTGGAATGGGGCAAAAGAAGTTGCCTCTTTTTTACTTTGGTCAAAATTGGAGAACTGGGGCAGGAAAATGCATGATTGTCAAAGAAATATATTCATCTAGGCCACCATTTTTCTTTATTATTGGATCATGGTGCAATTGTAATATAAATTAAGCATAACCATTATTAGACTTGTAACCAAATTGTAGCTGATTTTTTGTTTTTATTGTATGGATAGTTGTAGGAAAAAAAGAACTTATTCCTTGGCATCCTCAGGTGTATAATCTAGCAACAATTCTCTATTTGGCTAATTAGGTTGCAGTTTCAAGAGGCTTGAATGGGATTGGACTTGCCATTGTCTTACCTGCCATTCAGTCCCTTGTTGCTGATTCAACCGATGATAGTAACCGTGGTATGGCTTTTGGGTGGCTGCAACTGACGGGAAACATTGGCTCCATCCTAGGTGGGTTCTGTTCAGTGTTAATTGCCTCAAAAACTATCATGGGGATACCTGGTTGGAGATTTGCTTTTCATCTGGTATGGATAATCAGTGTCGTAGTTGGTATTTTGGTCCGTCTTTTTGCTAATGATCCACGATTTTCTGATAGTAATAATAGAGCCAAGGAACAAGTTGCAGATAAGTCTTTTTCATCACAAGTGAAGGACATCATAACAGAAGCAAAATCGGTTATGAGAATCCCAACATTCCAAATTATTGTTGCTCAAGGTGTTTCAGGATCATTCCCCTGGTCAGCTTTGTCATTTGCCCCTATGTGGCTTGAACTTATTGGCTTCTCCCATGAAACAACAGCATTTATCATGACCCTTTTTGTAATTTCTGGTTCACTTGGTGGTCTCTTTGGAGGAAAGATGGGAGATATTCTAGCGAGACACTTGCCTAATTCTGGCAGGATTATTCTATCACAGATAAGCTCAGGTTCTGCAATACCTCTAGCAGCAATTTTGCTGTTGGCGTTACCTGATGATCCCTCCACTGCATTTTTGCATGGTCTGGTTTTTTTCATCATGGGATTGTGCATATCCTGGAATGGTCCAGCAACTAACAAGTATGTATTCTTGGTCCATCTCATATTTCTTCGTTGTCTTCAACAACTAACATGGTGATTTGGATAGGGAATAAAGTGAAATGCAACTAAACCATTGGTTCATACTTTACAAGCCATAAAACTGAATGAGACTCAACTAGACATGAAGCCAAAATCCAGTTGTTTCACCTTACAAAATCTCTATCAACAAAGACATAGTTGGGGTGGATGTTCAGACACTGGAATGTTTAAGATGTAGGACAATAAAACCAACTGGAGTACCGTGCTCCCTAAAGATATAGTTTCAGATACTGCCTGACTAGTTCAGCCTCAGTAAGAACTTAGTTTAGATTCGTTACTCATTTGCAGATGATACAGATATTTTTGATACGCCTAACTAAACTCACGTGAATTAGAAGAGACATTTTTTTGGGAGCAAAAGACTACATTTCATACTTTGAGGATTTTGTTTCAAACTGTAGATGTCTTTAATCAGATCAACCTAGGTCAGTGTCTATACGCAGCCTGTGACTCAGGGCTTTTGTGGTGATAATACATGGATAGTTCTAGCAAATTAATGATGTTTGATAGTGCTACGAAGCTAGTTTTAATTTGTTATTTTAAAAACTGTCCAAAATTAGCATTTGCAAGTCTTTGCAAATTTCATTTGGCGCACAAGCACTACAGTGTCCTAAGGCTAGTTGTGGTTTATTCAGTAGTTTTATATACTGCAATAATATATATCTATACGCCAACCTGGTCCAATCCTCTAGTTGCACACTTTCGCTGCTTCTACAAGCTAAGCAAGTTGTACGGTTTGTATGCTGTCAACTGATGCACACATTAGCTATATAGCTTCAACTTTGATTGCATGCAAATTAGAACAGTATGTCTGCATTTTATTAGCATTATCTGGTATATGAATGGTGTACACAGTCCAATATTTGCAGAAATTGTACCTGAGAAATCACGAACAAGCATCTATGCCTTGGATCGATCATTTGAGTCTGTACTGGCATCTTTTGCTCCCCTATAGTTGGGATTTTAGCTCAGCATGTTTATGGTTATAAACCAATACCTAAAGGATCATCAGACTCTATAGAGATTGAGACGGATAGAGAGAATGCCGAATCACTTGCTAAGGCACTTTACACAGCAATTGGGATTCCAATGGCAGTCTGTTGCTCCATTTACTCATTCCTTTATTGCACGTATCCAAGAGACCGGGAGAGAGCAAGAATGCAAGCACTGATAGAATCAGAAATGCAACAACTAGATGAAAATAATTCTCCATCAAATGGAAAACAATCCGAATCTTTTTATTGGCAGACTCAACAGAGCTGATGACATGGAAAGGGAGTGAAATTGATGTAGAGTTTGGAGGGGGGGAGAGGCCTTTATTTGGATGATAATGGGCGATGAGAAGGTCTCTCTGAATCAACACAGCTTGCTTCTCAAACTTAGAAGAAAAGATAATCATGTTGGACAGAGGCTGAGCAATCAAAATTAGGCTTCATTCTGAAACTAAGTTAAGCTTCAAGCACTTGGTTTCTTCTAAAGGCTTTTCAAAAATTTCCATGTCAACAGAAATATTTTTATTCTATCAGGCTCTTTGTGTCACGCTTTTAGAAATCTAGTTCATACCTTCTGAAGAACTTGTTGTTTAATTCATTAATCTCATGATTACAGGTGATCCTATTTGTTCTTCATCTCTTTCAGAATTTACTTGCAGTTGAGATATGCTGCATGAAAGTTTCAATAGCTCAAATTGCATGGAACAATGGAATTACCCAACTTCAACTAACTAATGGCTTGATTCATTGTTTACTATATTTCAGCCTAGACAAAACCAAGACCTGCATCTAGTCTCTTCAACAACCTTGCTTCAATCAATTAGAAATCACAACCATCTCTCAACAAAAAGTTGTGACTTCATTGATGTTTAACAAGGATTTTAAGTTGGTTTTTCTAGTAAGAATGGCATGCCAACCAAGAGTTGTTCTCGACTTCCAACCAATAATGAAATCAAGCCATTAAAATTATCTCTTTGTTGTGTCCTCCCAGATAATACCACTTTCTTCACATGGAGGACAATGACAGAAACATCAAACAATTTTCTATATCAACTTGGATTTTAATTTTCATAAACCTTCACTGCTTAAGCTTTACTCCAAAGTTTAAATATAGTAAACAATTAGTTAGTTGCCAATTTACAATTCCAAAACTAAGTTATTTCTTTAAAATATTTCTTCTTTTAACCTCGTCTGAATCAATTTATAAACTCTATGGCACATTGATCTTGCTAACGACAAAAAAAAAAAAAAAAGAGAAATAACATGCTTTATTTTATTTGATGATGAAACTATTGTTGTTCCATCGCTTTACATTAATTATTTTTCTTTAATTTAGTTTAGCTTGTTATGATGGCTAAACACGTAAATTAATTAACTATACTAATATTGGCCAAAAAAAATTAACTATATTAATGTTTTGTTATCAACAGAAATTTGTCAATTTATTCAATGCTAAGAG